CAGAAGTAATAGAAACAAACAAAAACAGAGGATTTTAAAAAAAAAAATACAATGCAACAATAACAACACAGGAATAAGCATAACCATTTCACTAAAAAGCATAAAAATTCACAATAATCAACCCTCACACAAACAATGCGCAAAGGATAGAGGGGAGAACAGTTTTTGTTTTTTTTTAACTAGTTAATATAGTACAGAAATTGGTATTTATACACTTGGATCAGGGGTTGGAACTTAGGTCTATACGTATAGTGAGAGCTTTAGCAAGGGGTATACAGAAAGAATATAGGAAAATCTAGAGCCGGAAAGGGATAGGATAAACCGTTGACTAAAAGGGTAAAGTTTAGTAAGAGAGTGATGGTGTAAAGGTCAAGTTGAGATAGGGTTGAATGATGCTAAAGTAGTGATTAAAATAGAATGGAGGTTATTCCCAATGTAAAATACAGAAAAAAAATAAAATAAAATGGTACTGGAGAGGAAACAAACAGACAAACAAACAAACAAACAAACAAGAAAAAACAAAGAACAAAAAAAAAAAAAAAAGGAAAGAAACAAAAATTGCAAAATAGCAGTAGTAATAGTGATGATAAAGATTGAAAAATGTAATAATTGAAAAGGTAAAATGAAGTAAGGAAAAAAATAGAAAAAATTTTTCTTAAGTAAATGCTATAAAAAGTGAAAATTAAATAAAAGATGTAAAAAATGAAAATAAAATAAAGAATAGTAAAATTAGCATAAAAATGTCCAGTAGTGGTCATTCACTTCCTCTGTTAATGTATTTGGCACTCCTGATTCTCAGACCAGACAGTCTTGCAGTCCCCAGCATTCCACTGCACCTGAGTTTTGTAAGGTAAACCTTAATTTTAAGCAGGTTATATCTTAGTTATTTGTGTCCGTTTATTTTTGATTAATAAAAAGAAAAAAGAGAAAAAAAAAAAAAAAAAAAAAAAAAAAGGCAGTTTGTAATTCGGCTCTTAGGTGTCAGTGTTTCCGGTTTGACCTCCCAGTCTTTTTGGTTGCTCTGGCCTTCTTTCTCTATGGCTCTAGCTGGCTCCAGGACTATGTCTTCTGGCTCCAATCCCTTGTTTCCAGAAGGCAAATTCCCCCTACAATTTCCCCGGCTATGCCCAACTGGGCAGTTCTTCTCTAGTATTCAGAAGCAAGGGGATGAATGGGAACCGGTGCCAAGGTGTCCAGATGTTCCGCCCTTGGCGGGACAGCCGCGATTCTTAACACTCTGTCCCGTGTCCCCTGGCGTTTTAAAAAAGTCCCTCTTCTGGGGGGGATTACTTCAAACCCAGCACTAGGTGTCGCTGCAGCCTTCTCTGGGCTCCGCTCCGCCTCTGCGGGCGGTAGTTCGCGAACCCGTCTACAGTGGAGGCAGGGCCGGAGCTCCCCGGCTACCGTAGCAGAGGCGGGGCCGGAGCTCCCCGGCTACCGTAGCGGAGGCGGGGCCGGAGCTCGCCGCCGCGGAACCCAGATCCCTTAGGCTATCCCCGCAAACTCTGACCTTTCCGTGGGTGACTGAAGATCTCCCCGGAATCCACGTGTCTGCGCAGCTCTGGGAGTCTCAGCTGCTCGATGGACCTCCGGGCTGTGCGTTTTCCACGCCTCAGAGAAGCTCTTTCCTTCCTGGCAAGACAATGCAGCCCTTCCTCCACGCCCGCAGCCCACCGCACGCTGCCTCCGCTGCCCCCGCCGCTGCTGCTGCTGCTGCTGCTGCTGCTGCTGCTGCCGCCGCGGCCGTCCTGGCCACTTGGTCAGGAAATCCTGTCCAGCGGACTCTCCCTTACCCTCCTTGAGAGCTCCGCTGTCCCTTAGCTGCCAATCAACTCTCCCTGAGCGACTCAGAAGCCCCCTTTATCCGTTCTGGAACCAGAGTCAGAATAGGTCCGACTGTTCGGTCGCCATCTTCAAGCTCCGCCCTGATATTTCATTTTCAAATTACTGACACAAATTTACCAGAGAAATAATTACATATCTTGTGAAATACCAAAATATCTGCAAGAAGTTTCCAAGATTCTTTGAATATACAAAAAAAAGCCTTTCTAATGAAAGCATTTACCTTCCTAAGCTAAGTAAACATTAAAAATTCAGCCGAAACCGGTTGGCTCAGTGGTAGAGCATTGGTCTGTGGACTGAAAAATCCAGGGTTCGATTCCGGTCAAGGGCATGTACCTTGGTTGCGGGCACATCCCCAGTGGGGGGTGTGCAAGAGGCAGCTGGTTGATGTTTCTCTCATCGACATTTCTAACTATCTCTCTCCCTTCCTTCTCTCGGTAAAATATTAATAAAAAATATATTTAAAAAAAATTCAGGTTAGCTCACAAGTGTGGCTCAGTAGTTGAGCTTTGACCTATGAACCAGGAGGTCACGGTTCCATTCCCGGTCAGGACGCCTGCCCAGGCTGGGAGCTTGATCCCCAGTGTGGAGCATGTCGGAGGCAGTGAACCAATGATTCTCATCATTGATGTTTCTATCTCTCTCTCCTTCTGCCTTCCTCTCTGAAATCCATAAAAATATATATATTTAAAAGTCAGACATACACCTGTATTCTACTCATAGGAATTTATTCAGAAGAAATGTAAACTTGTTTACTGTAGCTGAATTTGTAACAGCCCCAAACCAGAAACAACCCAAAGATCCAGGTGAATGGATAAACAAACCATTACACAGCCATACAATGGAACACCCCAAAGTCAGTGGGTACATGCAACATTGGACAACTCTCAAAATACGCCGAGTGAAAGAAGACAGATAAAAGAACCACATATTCCGTGGCTCCATTTACATAAAGTCTAGGAAATGCAAACTAATCTCTAGGTATGGAAAGCAGATCAGTGGTGGCCTTGGGATGGGAGGAGGAAGTTGATCACAAAGATGCAAGAGGAAAATTGAGGGGGGCGGGATGGTTATGTTCCTTATCTTGATTGAAATGATAGTTTCATGGGTGGGTACACACTATGTCAAAACTTATTAAGCTGTCACTGAATATAGATACTGCAATATTGACTATATCCCCTGTGCTTTACTTTACATCCTGTGACTGACTATTCTGACTGTTCCCAACTTGTACTGCTTAGTCCCTTCCCCTTTTCACCCAGCTCCCTGAGTCCCTTCACCTTTTCACCCTCTCTGACAATCATCAGTCTGTTCTCTGTATCCCTGCGTCGAAATATGTAGTACAATTTATTGTATGCCAACTCCACCTCGGAAAAGCTGTTAAAAATGGAATAGAGGCCAAGGCCAGTTTGGCTCAATGGATAGAGCGTCGGCTTGGGGACTGAAGGGTCCCAGGTTCGATTCCGGTCAAGGGCATGTACCTTGGTTGCGGGCATATCCCCAGTGGAGGGTGTGCAAGAGGCAACTGAACGATGACTCTCTCTCATCGATGTTTCTAACTCTCTCTCTCTCCCTTTCTCTCTGTGGAAAATCAATAAAATATATATTTTTTTAAAAATGGAATAGAGCATGGCTGGTGTGGTTCAGTGGTTTAGCTTCCCCTGTGAGCCAGGTGAGCCAGGAGGTCATGGTTTGATTCCAGGTCAGGGCACACGCCGGGGTTGCGGGCATGATCCCCAGTGTGGGGCGTGCAGGAGGCAGCCACCAGTGATTCTCTCTCATCATTGATGTCTGTCTCTCTCCCTCTCCCTTCCTCTCTGAAATCAATAAAAATATCTTTAACAAAAATCAGGAATAGATAGCTCTGGCCAGGCTGCTCAGTTAGTTAGACTCACTAGCATTGTCCTGATAAACCAAGGCTGTGGGTTTGATTCCCAGTCAGGACAAATACAAGAATCCATCAGTTAACACATAAATAAATGAAAAGCAAATCTCTCTCTCGTCAGTAAATTTTAAAAGTGGAAGACATACTATTTATAAAATACGTGTAGGGTATAACAAATAATGAAATAATAGCACATTCTCTGGAGCCATCGCCCAGTTTTTTGTTTTTTTTTAAATCAATGTCATCATTATTTTTAAAAATTGCTCAAAAAAAAAAAAAAAAATTGCTGTGTTCCTTACCCAACCTAAAGCTGGGGCTTTTCTTGCTAAAAATTGAAGGATGCTTGAAAACACATCTGAATGCTTTAGGTTCCCAAATGCGCATATTCTGTTTTTATCTAAGTTAGCTGAATAATGTGGTGCACCTTTGGAAACTGAAGTTTGCCCTTTAAAAGATGGTCAGCCGCCGAAACCGGTTTGGCTCAGTGGTAGAGCGGCGGTCTGCGGACTGAAAGGTCCCAGGTTCGATTCCGGTCAAGGGCATGTGCCTTGGTTGCGGGCACATCCCCGGGGGGAGGGGTGTGTGTGTGTGTGTGTGTGTGTGTGTGTGTGTGCAGATCAATGATTCTCTCTCATCGATGTTTCTAACTCTCTATCCCTCTCCTTTCCTCTCTGTAAAAAATCAATAAAATATATATTTTTTAAAATAAAAAAAATAAAAGATGGTCAGCCCCAAACAGTGACTTGAAGATAACTTTGAGTTAGGAGTGCCAGCGCAGAGCGCCGAAGGGAACCTTGTTAACTGCGGCAGGCGGGCAGGCGGGGGTCAGGGGCCAGGGGTCAGGGGTCAGGGGGCACAGGGCGGGAGGAAGCGGGGGAGCTGGCCGCGGCTTCCGCCTCACATCGGCCGGCTCCGCCCGGTGTCCCTCCGCAGGTGACTCGCTGGGAGAGCTGCGCCCTGTCAGGCCGCGCGGAGGGAACGGGCTGGGAACGGGCGGCCCAGAGCCGGGAGCGGCGGAGCAGGTGCAGGAGGAGGAGCAGGTTCGGACCAGGGCCTGGACGCCCCTTTCCTTCGAAGGAGAAGCCGGCAGGGACCTTCCCCTTCGCTTCACGGAAGCTGAGCTGAGTCAGCCTCCGCCCGCGGCTACGGACCGCCGCCCTGGCCTCCCGCCCGGGAGCCCAGCTCGGAAGCTGATTGGCGGCCGCGGCCACCTCCTGCCCTTAAAGGAGCCGCGCTCGGGACCGCGTGGGCGGCTCTCCTCCTCCTCCCAGGGATGGCGCTGCCCGTGCTCCTCCTGCAGCTGGCCGTCCGCGTCCTGGCGTCCCCCCTGTACCTGCTGGACTTCCTGGGCGTGTGGAAAGGGATCTGCAAAAGATGCTTCCCCTTCTTCCTGGCGAGGTTCACCCCGGTGTGCAACAGGCAGATGGCGAGCACGAAGCGCGGGCTCTTCGGCAGCCTGCAGGAGCACGCGGGCCCCTCGGGGGCGCTCTGCCTGCTGGAGCTGGGCTGTGGCACCGGCGCCAACTTCCAGTTCTACCCGCCCGGCTGCAGGGTGACCTGCGTGGACCCCAACCCCAACTTCGAGAAGTTCCTGATCCAGAGCATCGCCGAGAACCGGCACGTGCAGTTTGAGCGCTTCGTGGTGGCGGCCGGCGAGGACATGCGCCCGGTGGCCGACGGCTCCATGGACGCGGTGGTCTGCACGCTGGTCCTGTGCTCCGTGCAGAACCAGGAGCGCATCCTGCAGGAGGTGCGCAGGGTGCTGAGGCCGGTGAGTGTCCGTCCGCGCGAGGAGGGCTGCGGGAGCCCCGCCACCATCCAGGCGGCCACTCACACGTCCCAGTGTGCAAAGCAACACTACCAGACAGGGCACTGTGGATTGTTTGTTTGTTTGTTTTTTAATCTTAGAGTGGGGAAGAAGCTATAAAGGGAAAGACTGGTAAATCTGAACACACAAAATGCAGGGAGGGCGGAAGGGTCCCGGGTTCGATTGAGGTCAAGGGCACATGCCCAGGGCTGGATCCCCAGTGTGGGGCGTGTAGGAGGCACCCAGTCAATGATTGTCTCTCATCATTGATGTTTCTATCTCTCCCTTCCTCTCTGAAATCAATAAAATCATCTTTAAAAAAAATAAAGAAATTAAGCTGCAGGGGGAAAGTACTATAAACAAGAACAAACTTAGAAGAATTTTGCCAGGGATGATAGAGAGTTAACTTTCTTCCTATTAAATGGCATCACTAGTCAAAGGTCAGGAGGGTGTTTTACAATAGGTTTTTATTGACTTCAGAGAGAGGAAGGGAGAAGAGAGATAGACATATCAGTGAGAGAGAAACACTGATCGGCACACCCCTTTCTGGGGATCGAGCCCGCAACTTGGGCACCATGAACCCTGACGGGGAATTGAGCCAGTGACCTTCTGGTGCAGGGGCTCATCCTCAACCAACTGAGCCACACCTGCCACGTGGTAGGATTTTTTTTAAATTAATAAGAAAAACACAAGGGAAAAAATGGGCAAAGAGCAGGAACAGAAATATAAATAAAAACAGCCAATAATAATTGAAATGCTCAACCTTACAATTAAAGAACAAGTTAAAGCAAGATACCATTTTTACCTATTGTACTGTCAGATACTTTTTAAAAAATATATATTTTATTGATTTTGTACAGAGAGAAAGGAGAGAGATAGAGAGTTAGAAACATCGATGAGAGAGAGTCATCGATCAGCTGCCTCCTGCACACCCCCTACTGGGGATGTGCCCGCAACCAAGGTACATGCCCCTTGACGGAATCAAACCCGGGACCCTTCAGTCCCCAAGCCGACGCTCTATCCATTGAGCCAAACCGGCTTCGGCTGTCAGAGACTTTTAAGGTCAGTGTGGTGTTGGGGGTGCATTTCGGAGATTGGACACTCCATGCACACTGGAGGAAGTGCTCTCCTTGGAGGGCAATTTGATATCAAATATTTTGTTAAATTTATTGGAGTGATATTGGTTAATAAAATTATATAGGTTTCAGGTGTACAGTTCTATAATATAATACATGTATATGCACTGTATGCTTACCGCCCAAAGTCAAATCTTCCATCACCAAACATTTGACCCTCTTTCCCCTTTACTACCTCCCACCCCTTTCCTCTCCAGAAACTACCGTACTGTTGTCTATATCTATGAGTTGTTTGTTTGCTCATTGCTGTTTTCAGTTTTATATCCCACATACGAGTGAAATCATATAGTTCTCAACTTTTTCTGTCTGACTAATTTCACTTAGCATGATTGTCTCAAGATCCACCTATGTTGTTGCAATGACAATATTTCATATTTTCTTATGGCTGAATAGTATTCCATTGTACAAAGGTACCACATCTTCTTTTCCCAATCATCTATCAAAAGACACTTCGGCCCTAGCTGGTTTGGCTCAGTGGATAGAGCATCAGGCTGCTGACTGAAGGGTCCTGAGTTCGATTCCAGTCAAGGGCACATGCTTGGGTTGCAGGCTCAATCCCCAGTAGGGGTGTGCAGGAGGCAGAGCAGCTGACCAATGGTTCCTTCTCATCATTGATCTTTTTTTTTTTTTAATATATTTTTATTGATTTTACACAGAGAGGAATTGAGACGGATAGTTAGAAACTTCGATGAGAGAGAAACATCGACCAGTTGCCTCTTGCACATCCCCCACTGGGGATACATGCCCTTGACCGGAATCGAACCCGGGACCTTTCAGTCCACAGTCTGATGCTCTATCCATTGAGCCATACCGGTTTTGGCTCATCATTGATCTTTCATTCCTTTATCCCTTCCTTTTTGAAATTAAATAAGTATATATATCCTATTTAAGAGTAATATGCAAATTGAACATACCTCCATTATACCCACAAGCCATGCCCACCAGCCAATCAGGAGCGAGTATGCAAATTAACCCAATCAAGATGGCTGCGGTCATGGAGAGAGCAGGAGGCTTGGGTTTCCACGGCAATGGAGGAAGCCAAGCTTTCCACCTGTCCGGGCCTGCCTTGGCCTCCACTTAAGGCTACAAAGTTTCAACGATAGAAGTTAAATAAATCCCAACAAAAATGGTGGCAGCCATGGAGCTGGAGAGAATAGAAAGCTTGAGTTGCCCCTGGCAATGGAGGAAGCCCAGCTTATGCAGTCCTGGCTGGCCTAGTCCTCCAATTCAGGGTACAAAGTTTCAATTATAGAAGGTAAATAAATCCCAGATACCAGGTCCTCTGCTTGGGTCACCAGGGGGTGTGGCCAGCCTGCAAACCACCACAGGCCCCTCGCCCAGGCCACCCCACACCCCAAGGGAACCCCCACCCTGATCCGGGACACTCTTCAGGACAAACCAGCTGGCCCCACCCATGCACCAGGCCTCTATCCTATCTAATAAAAGAATAATATGCAGTTTGACCATCACTCAAACACACAAGCTGGCTGTCCCCACTGGCCAAAGATCCTGCCCCCATGTGGACACAAGATGGCCACCACAAGATGGCCAGCAGGGGAGGGCAGTTGGTAGGGACCAGGCCAGCAGGGGAGGGCAGTTAGGGGTGACTGGGTCTGCAGAGGACAGTTAGGGCCAAACAGGCTGGCAGTTAGACATCAGTCAGGCTGGCATGGGAGAGGTTAGTGGGTGATCAGGCTGGCAGGCAGAAGTGGTTAGGGGCAATCAGGAAGGCAGGCAGGCGAGCATTTGGGAGCCAGCAGTCCTGAATTGTGAGAGGGATGTCCACCAGTATCGGGCCTAAACGGGCAGACAACCCTTGAGGGGTCCCAGATCAGAGAGGGTGCAGGCTGGGCTGAGGGACACCCCCCCACCCCCTATGCATGAATTTCGTGTACTGGGCCTCTAGAGTGTGTGTGTGTATATTTCTTTAAAATATATATTTTTAGTAGAAAGTAACTGCTTTAAGTTTAGCTATTATTATGTATTGCTTTTATGATCAGAAATTAGAAGTGGCAGTAATTGCTTTAGAGTGTCAGGTCTGTGTAAAATTTGACAGATGAAACTATTGACCAAAATGCTGTCTCAGTAACTTATCCATGTCTTCTCTCGAAGTTGATCCTGGGGCCACTGATATCGGACGCTTCCAATCACCTTACAAATCGGTTTTCCCCAAACTGAAATCCTTGAAATGGCTTTTCTTCTCTTTCCCAGGGAGGGGCCTTTTATTTCCTGGAGCATGTAGCAGCTGAGCGTTCCACCTGGACTTACTTCTGGCAGCAGGTCCTGGAGCCGGTCTGGTACCTCCTGTTCGACGGGTGCAGCCTGACCAGAGAGAGCTGGACGGCGGTGGAGGGGGCCGGCTTCTCCAAGCTGCAGCTGCAGCGCCTGCAGGCCCCGCTGTCCTGGCCGCTGGTGCGCCCGCACATCTGCGGCTTCGCCGTGAAATAGCCAGCGGGAGCGAGCGAATGGCCAAGGCTCCCGTTTTACACTAAATGCTAATTGGGAAAAGAGAAACCCTTTTCAGGTAAAGCTGAATTCCATCCTAAAAAGTTTACTTTACACCCTGTTTAGCCATTGTCCATCGTCTCCAGGCATCCGTCCATGTTAGGTCGCATCGCTGTTTTCTGGTTTTATCCCGGCTGCACTTGGATTCGAGTTCACTTCTCCTGCGCTGTTTTCTTCCGTAACACCGTCATTTGTGAATATGTATTTCTGGGGGCACTTTTTAAGGGCTGTTTGTTCTCCCACCATTGTATTCCCAATGCCCGGCATATAATACGTGCTCAAGAGATATCTGTTGAATAAATGAGCTAAAGAAAACAATACAAATACAAAAGAGCTTTGGACTCCCCTTTAAGAGGACACAATGGGCCCAGACCTGTGGACCGGAGGTCATGGTTAGATTCTGGAAGGGCTCATGCCCAGGTTGTAGGCTCAGTTGATGTTTCTGTCTCTCCCTCCCTCTTCCTTCTTCTCTAAAGTAAAAAAAAAAAAAAAAAATTATATTAAAAAAAAATAAAAGTAAACAATGAGCTTTTATAATTGAAGTCTACCATTATCCGAAAGCCTTAGTTTATTCAGTAACTTCAGCTGTCTTAGTTGTTACCAATAGATTTGATTTTCACCCCCTCTTTGATTTGAGAGCTCGGTGAAATAAGTAGTTAAGTCACTCAAAAGAAAACTTTGAGAAAAGAGAAATGAAAATACCTTAATGATTCGCAAACTGAATAAAGGAAGACTAGTTGAAAATGATACTTGACACTCTAGTATTTTCATGAAACTGTCTAAGGCAGTTAAGGTTCTTAGGTTCATTTTCCTTATTATCTAGCACAGTGGTCGGCAAACTGCGGCTCTCGAGCCACATGCAGCTCGCAAGCCACAGTTTGCCGCTCTGTTGACTAATGAGCTTGCCGACCACTGACCTAGACCCTCGATTCCAATAATTACAGGCTGTGACTGTTCCTTGTGATTAAGCCCTTATCCCAGTGGTCGGCAAACTCATTAGTCAACAGAGCGGCACACCGCGGCTCCTGAGTAAGAAGGAAGCCCTCGAACAATTAGGTGCACTCTGTAAGAGCCCCAAGACAGACAGCTTGTGAGCGTGGAGAGAAGTGGACGAGTATTTGTTGGATTACGATGATCAAATTTCCACCCCATCCCAAGATGATTTCTTTGTTCCTTGCAACCACGAAAACCTCTGAAAATCATCACAAGTGTGTTAAAAATAAGTGTTGGGCTGATCAGTCAGAGGGTTTAAGAGTAGCATTTTCGGAAATAGTTTGCATGTATTTTAATAAATTTAGTATATTTTCTGAGATGATTTTGCAAAAAGGCCTATTTTAAATAACAGATCAATAAATTCACATGCATTTTAGGGATGGGAATAAAATAAATAGTTTATATGTTTACTGGCTTGGTTTCATTTTTCTCTGGGGGGGCTTTCCTTCCTCGTGGAAAGTTAAGCTGCTTAGACATTCAGGTTTTTCCTTCTTCAGCCCGGTAGCTGTACCAGTAAACACAGCTAGCAGGTTTTGGAAAAAGCAGTTTTGGAAGGATCAGAATGTGTTTTGAAAAGGTCAAGTCCAAACACCCCGTTTGTGAAACCCAGAGAGCAGAAAGGAAGGACGCTCAGCTCTCTCTGTGGGACATGGAAACAGTTCCTGTCACAGGGAGGTCTGGACATCCACCTGATTCCGTGGAGCATGAGTCTCCCCCCACCGCAGCCTCCCCAAAGAATGAACTGACTTCCCTACCCGCCTCCCTCCTGGCTGGGTCAATCTGGCGAGGGAGAACTATGAAAAGCCGCAGGGTGACCTGGCGAAATGTTACTGGCATGTTGGAAGGTAAATAACAGCCAAGTGCAAAGTACGAGGCACATTCTTATCAATTCCTTCTTGTCTTAAGTGGTTTGGCAAACATTATCCTCACTTTTTCTTTCTTAATCCACCTGAGGATATGTTTTTCATTGATTCGAGAGCAAGAAAGAGGGAGATGCCAAAACCGGTTTGGCTCAGTGGATGGAGCGTCAGCTTGGGGACTGAAGGGACCCGGGTTCGATTCCGATCAGGGGCATGTGCCTTGGTTGCGGGCATGTCCCCAGTGGGGGGGGTGCAGGAGGCAGCTGATCGATGACTCTCATTGATGTTTCTGGCTCTCTGTCTCTCTCCCTTCCTCTCTGAACAAAAATCAATAAAATATATATTTAAAAAAAAAAAAGAAAGAAAGAAAGAAAGAGGGAGAGAGCAAGAGAAAAACATCAATCAATCATCAATTGCCTCATGCACCCTGACCAGGGATTGTACCTGCAACCTAGGACCCTTCAGTGTGTGGAACAGCACTCTAACCACTGAACAACACCGGCCAGGCCTATCCTCACTTTCTATAGACAACACTAAGGTGTAGAGAAAGAAAGAAAGAAGTTTCTTACATTTCACAAGTTAAAGAGCCAGTCTTAAAAGCCCTGATTCCCCAAACCACAAAACCTGTTTTGACTACAGCTCCATATTATTTTCTCACTGCCTTTCTCCTCAGGCCCAGAATGACACATATGTATGATCGTTCCACCAGCCTGAGTCTCGATAGGCTCCTATTGACAGCACAGCCCTTTCCTGACCAATCATGTTTAGATGGGATGGGTTTATGCTGATTGGCTCGAGTGTAGGTCCCCGTGTTCCACCCTGAGGTGAGCACACCCAGGTCATTGGACTGAAACAGGGAAACTTGTGGATTATCCAGATGAAAACAGAGCCTGTGACTCGGGTAAGGGGGAATGGATGCTGGGAAGGCACACCACAAATGCCCAGGATAAGCTCATTGCTGCATTTAATTTTTTTTTAAAAGAGAGAATGGAAGTGATGGGGAGTAAGAAAGAGAGAGAGAGAAAGAAGAGAGAGGAGAGAGGGAGAGAGAGATAGAGATAGAGAAAGAGAGGAAGAGGAGAGGAGAGGGGAGGGAAGGGGAGGGGACCAGAGGGGATGAGAGGAGAGGAAAGGAGAGGGACACATCGATTGGTTGCCTCCCACACAGGATCAGGGCCATGTGCCGGGAAGGGGGGCGGGGAGGCAGAGCCATGTGTAACCTGCAACCCAGGTATGTACTCTTGTCTGGGAACTGAATCTGGGACCCTTTGGTGCTCGGGCTGATGCTCTAACCATTGAGCACACCAGCCAGGGCTCATTGCTGCATTTTGATCAGACCCTCTGTCTGCTTTCCTGCAGTAGGTCACACAGTACTGTGCTTACAACACTGGCTTTTCAGTGGAATAATTGCACACAATGAGAAAAATGAAAGTCAAATGACACTGGCTTTGGCATCCAAGTGGCCGAGGTCAAGTGCTGGCTGCGTCATTCATTGACTGTGTGACCTTGAGCAAGTTACTTCCCTGGTCTCACTTTCCTCACCTGCTAATGGGGATAATATTCACCTACAGAGCTATTGTGAGGAGTTAATGAAGTAAAGAGCAAGAGAAAAACATCAATCAGTTGCTTCACACACCCTGACCAGGGATTGAACCTGCAACCTAGGACCCTTCAGTGTGTGGAACTTAATAAATGTTGGTGCTTAATAAATGTTGAACTTCATTCAACAAATATGAGTGCCTACTGCGTACTCCGCTCTTGGTGCTTGGCTTAGAGTGCTGAATAAGCTAGACCTGGCCCCTCTCTCCTGAAGCATACAATTGCAATGATGCTATCCACGAGGGAGAGGCTCGGGAAGAGAACAGAAGGTGGTCTATCCAGGAGGAAGAGGATCAAGGGCGACCTGAGGAAATGACACCTGAGCTGAGTGACAGGAGGTGAGTAAGCAGTATTTCAGCCGCCCTGGCCAGTGTTGCTCAACTGGCTGGGGATCAACCTGTGCACTGAGGGACTGCTGACCCGATTCCTGGTCGGGTCACATGCCCAGTGGGGGTACGGAGGTGCTGATTGATGTTTTACTCTCACATCAATGTTTCTCTCTCCTCTCTCTAACCAATAAAAATCTTTAAGAAAAAAAGAGTATTTCAGTCTAATGTAACAGCTTGTGCCACTGACTAATAAAGAGAGGAAACACAGTATGTTTATTAGGGGCAGGAATATTAATCGTGCTCTGTGGTTGTTGTTTTTTTTGTTGTTTGTTTGTTTGAAATATTATATATATAAAATATTTTATTGATTTTTTACAAAGAGGAAGGGAGAGAGATAGTTAGAAACATTGATGAGAGAGTCATCGATCAGCTGCCTCTTGCACACCCCCACCGGGGATGTGCCCGCAACCAAGATACATGCCCTTGACCGGAATCGAACCCGGGACCTTTCAGTCCACAGGCTGACGCTCTTTCCACTGAGCCAAACCGGTTAGAGCTAATCGTGCTGTTACCCATGATTGTTAGCTATAGTTATAAGAAATATTAATGATGGTCTGTTAACCATAATTGTTCTGTTCCGATCAAAGAAAGCATATTCTAACCTGGCTGAGGTGCACACCCTGGGACATGGGAGTTAACCTGGGAATGTGGTCCATTCTCCTTCTCCAAGAACTGCCTATTATCATGGAAAGATGAACAACTTTTGTTGCCAGAACAACAGAGTCCCAGAGGTGCCAACCCTTCACAACATCCCCCCATTCCCCTCCCTCCAGCCTCCATTGCCTGTAACCATTATACCCATCTTATTCCTTTGGCCTATTTCCCCATGTAATCTTTGTCCTTCTGCCCAATATAAGCATCTGGCTATGGGGGAGGGAGGATGGAGCAGATTTTCGTGGATGACATGCTGCTCTCCCATCCTGGCAGCAGTATTGGAATAAACACTCATATATGATTCAACCCTGTTTCTGCTTAATTGGCTCAAGTAGTGATAGGCAGCCTGGACCCATTGTTTGTCCAGTTTCTTGTTCAAGGAACTGAAAGAAAGCAGGCACAGCTGGGCACCAAAGCCTGAAAGGTGGGTTGTGGCATGACCACTATT